AGCCTGATGTGGAGGACGAGAGAGGGAGCTATGGCGGAGGAAGGAGAGAGGGAGACTATGTGGAGGGAGGTTTACTGATGGAGGAGGATGGGGGCAAGAGGGAGACTGATGTGGAGGGAGGAGATGGTAGAGGAAGGAGAGGGCGACTATGTGGAGGGAGGAAAGACTGATGGAGGAGAAACAAGAAGAAGAGCAAGACAAAGGAGAAGAAGAAACGAAAAGAAGAAGAAGAACTGAAGAGACTAAGAATAAGAGGATCGACGCAGATCGATGGCCAAGGCACAAAAAAAAAAAAAGCCATGAAACAGGGCCTACCAGGCCCTGAAAAATTTTGCGCCCGCCGCCTAATTTTTTTCCCCCCTTTGGGCCGTAGGCCTGCGTTGCCAATTTTTTTTTTTTGAGGTTTTTGGGGGGTGGCGCTGAGGGTGCCCGGGTGCCTGCCCGGAGGGGTCGCCCGGCCGGGCGCCCTGGGCACCCTTCCGGGCGACCTGGGGGGGCCCGGGCGCCTGGGCTCGAAAGCTAGCCAGGTAATGATTTTTTGCAATTTTTGAACTCTGCATCACGGTTCAGCCATGAACTTCAAGGCGTACGAAAATTATTATGGCGGTGATCACCAGTTCGACCCCACGCAGTGGCATGGACAGATAGTAAGATACTGATCATGTTCACGTTATGCGAACCTGGCTGCTTTTCTGTTACAGATTCGTAAATACACCGCGGAACAGTTATATCTCCATCTGCTGACAAGGTGTGACGACGACGAGCAGGAAGCGGAGGAGGAAGAGGAGGAGGACGGCGAGGAGGGGGAGGAAAGACAAGATTGCCTGGATGAAGTATTTGAGATTCTCACAGAAACGCGCTGGGACTCTCCCGTGGCAGAAATTAGGAAGGACCGCGACAAGCTCTTCGATCTGCTAAAGGTCCCAAAGCTCCCTACCAAAGCCAGCGCGCATCGATCCTCCGCCGTGGCAAGCTGTTCTGCAACAGTTCTGTAAACCGTGGGTCTGTACCGGATCGTGGGATCTTAGGAAATTGGAACTTAGAATTTGGAGTTTTGAACAACAAGAGAGAAAAGACTAGACGAGTGTCTTCTTCTTCTTCTTCTTCTTCTTCTTCTTCTTCTTCTTCTTCTTCTTCTTCTTCTTCTTCTTCTTCTTCTTCTTCTCCGTCGTCTTCTTCGTCTCCTCCTCCTCCTCCTCCTCCTCCTCCTCTGAACAACAAGAGAGAGAAGACTAGACGAGTGTCTTCTTCTTCTTCTTCTTCTTCTTCTTCTTCTTCTTCTTCTTCTTCTTCTTCTTCTTCTTCTTCTTCTTCTTCTTTTTCCCTTCATCGTCGTCTTCTATGTCTCCTCCTCCTCCTACTCCTCCTCCTACTCCTCCTCCTCCTCCTCCTCCTCCTCCTCTGAACAACAAAAGAGAGAAGAGTAGACGAGTGTCTTCTTCTTCTTCTTCTTCTTCTTCTTCTTCTCGTCCTCCCTGCGCCTCCTCCTCCTTCTTTTTCTTCTTCTTCTTCAAGTTCTTCTTCTTCTTCTTTTCTTGATTTTATCATTGTGTGAATGTATCATGTATTTAGTATTTTTACTATTTTACTATTTACACATTTGCGTATTAAAATGTATTTCGACATCGATTTTCAATCAGCAAGGTGGTCCTCACTCATCAGATTTTGTTCAATCCGCAAATAGAGAACAATGGGGGAACCCGGTGTTAAAGAAGATTCAAGGAGTTATCCCTGGCCCATCCATGTTGCTATAAAATTATAAATGTCACACAGTAGTGCACACATCTGCAAGACTGGTGAACTGCTGATAAATAGGTGGCCACGACTCGCCAGTTGAAATCTCAATGGGAGAAATCCGTCGTCAAGATTCCAGGAGGCCAGGGGACGAAAAGAGCAGGCACTTTTCCTTTTTTTTTTTTTTTTTTTTTGTCCAGGGAGCAGATCGTCAGTCGTACGGAGGCAGAGGGTCAGCCACTTTTTAGGAACACGAGTGGGGGTCTCGTTAAGTAAGCGCGAAGAAGTGTGCAAGTGCACTGTCTCTGTCGTACGGAAGCAGAGGGTCAGCAATTTTTGCCAGTGTGCAAGTGCATTGTCTCTGTCGTACGGAAGCAGAGGGTCAGCAATTTTTGTCCCCAACCCCCCACCCATTTCCCCCCCCACCCACTTCCCCTGGCTCATGTTTAAAAATCGCCAGTACCTCACCCAGGCAAACTTGAGAACTGGCAAAACAGCCATTTCGTTAAAATAATAAAATCTGCATTTTTTATTTTTTTATTTTTTGAACGGAATTGAGACCTCAACTTGTTTTCTGTGGCGGCCATGCGTCAA